TGCCTGAGCAAGCTGTCGATAGTTGCAGTTGTGGTAATGGGAGGCATGAGGTGAGGGAGTTGTAACTGCCCCGTTTTGAGGCTCTACCCAGCACTCGGTCACAACCTGCAACTCCCCATCTGCTTCTACGCTGTCTCCTTCTTCCCAGTCTTCATCTACAATGCTGTCAGGAGAAAGCAAGTTATTTTTCCTTCAAATAAAAATTGCAATTACAATATTCTTCCCATCACAAAAGAACTAAATAACACTTTGTACAGAGTGAGGGGAGGGGGGAAACCATGGTTAAAACAAAAAGAAATAACTTGTCTAGAAACATTAAAGGACAAGAGAAAAAGAGAAAGATGAAAAAGAGAGAGTGAAGAGTGAGGGAGGAGGAGCAGTGAATGAGAGTGAAAGTGAGAGTGAGAGTGAGAATGAGAATGAGAAGGGAGAGAGAGGGGGAGAGGGTAAAAGAGAGAGAGAGAGAGAGAGAGAGAGAGAGAGAGAGAGAGAGAGAGAGAGAGAGAGAGAGAGAGAGAGAGAGAGAGAGAGAGAGAGAGAGAGAGAGAGAGAGAGAGAGAGAGGAGAGAGAGAGAGAGAAGGAGAGAGAGAGAGAGAAGGAGAGAGAGAGAGAGAAGGAGAGAGAGAGAGAGAAGGAGAGAGAGAGAGAGAAGGAGAGAGAGAGAGAGAAGGAGAGAGAGAGAGAGAAGGAGAGAGAGAGAGAGAGAAGGAGAGAGAGAAGGAGAGAGAGAAGGAGAGAGAGAAGGAGAGAGAGAAGGAGAGAGAGAAGGAGAGAGAGAAGGAGAGAGAGAAGGAGAGAGAGAAGGAGAGAGAGAGAGAGAGAGAGAGAGAGAGAGAGAGAGAGAGAGAGAGAGAGAGAGAGAGAGAGAGAGAGAGAGAGAGAGAGAGAGAGAGAGAGAGAGAGAGAGAGAGACAGAAGAGGCAAAGGAAAGAGAGAGAGAGCAAGAGAAAAATTCTCACCTGTCCCTAGAGCTATTGGTGACATGTGGCGGGAAAATGACATACTGCGCCACGCAAGGGAAGGTCTCCTGCCTGCCTTCCTCTGTGGACTCCAGCAAACCCTCGTCTTCACCCTCACGCAGTTCCAACTAGAACATTCCAATACGAAACATTAACACAAAAAAAATTGTGGTAAGTACTGATACAAATAAAAATATGGCAAATTCTCTCATCTTCTCCCTTGAATGGGCTTCTCAGAATCGCACATGATAAAAAATTTGAATGTGTACACTAATTATTTGCTAGCATAAAAAAAATATATATTATGAGTTCTTATATGGTATAACATATATTCTTAGTTATTCAGACAATTTTCTATTATCCCACACCCTTAAGTAAAATCAAAATAAAATAAAATAACATTTAAAAAAATTTATGAGTGAATATATCTAAACCAATTAAACTGAACAGCCCTTTGGTCACGTGGGATTTTATTGTACACATAATGTATGTAAATATCAGTACTAGGGCTTTCCTTTTCTATAGGCAAAGTGTTCCCTTACTTTCATGTCAAATTCCCGAACCATAGTGATGATTCCATTGCAAGAATGTGCGAACTTGAAGCCTTCTTGCAGCCTTATTCTGTAGTGAAGAAGAAATACTATCAGAACTGGATTATCATTAAAATATGTGTTAACAAACATAAAGCTTTCATTCAATATTTGCAACAATTAATTAAGCTTCTGATACATCAAAAAATCTTAGGAGTATTCAATGTGAGCTTTTATGAATATCATTAATGTGTAAGTAAAGAAGCAGAACATAAATCTATTTATCATGACACTCTTAATTGGAACTACCACATCAATTTTGTCATTTTATTGTCAGGTAAGAAATACAAATCATTACCTATCATAATATTTTTTTCTTTTTCTTTTAAGCCTACAGACCTTCTGCTTTAGGAAGTCTTTGATTTAATAATAACTATCACAGCATCTGGGGAATAAAATCAAAATCTACAAATACTAAATCACATTCAAAATACTTTACCTGGTGAGAGTATGCAGAACTCTCGCCACGGCATTAAGCGAGACTGACGGTGCATTTGGTGCCTGCACTGACCAAATCCATCTCCTGTGGTGGAGGTAGCGAGACAGGAGAGCCATGTTGTTTGTGGCTGACTTTGTGGTGCCCAGTTTTGCATAGATCGACTTGGTGGAAGGACTGATGGGAGTTTCTTGCACAATGCTACTAAGCAGGTTGCCTGGCATCTTCTCATACCTATTCAAAAATGTCAATAAATAAGTTTACAGCATCAGAAAATAATAATAATAATAATAATAATAATAATAATAATAATAAATCACTTCAAGTATTCATTTCTAAGGACATTTTGTGCATAATCTCTCAATAGATCCTCTCTTCCAAAATCATGGAATAAATCTACATTCCCTGCAATAAATATAAACATAAATCACAGAGCCCCCCCTTCTGAGATGACAGGACCTTGTAACCTTAACTATCCTGACACAACTAACCATATTAGGATTTTCTCAATTGGCTTGTGCGTGATGACAACACAAGGGATGTTCGACGCCACTCGAGTCAGAGGGGGACGCACTCCAACAGGTCTCAGCTCTGCCGAGGCCGACATGGCTGACTCCCCACATTCATTGTCCTTATCCTGCAATTATTTCCCATAGGATTACTTAAACATACACACACACACACACACACATACATATATGCATCACACACACACACAAAAAAAATATATTCAATAGTGAGCAACGTAAAAGAACTGCTTCCAGATGACATTTCCAGTGTCAAAATATTTTAAACAAAATAAGTAATAAAAAATTAGCCACAGAAAATAACAAAAGCATGCATCCATCACATACAACTTCATACCTGAAGTGAAAAAAATTAAAATTCCCACAATAATTCATTATTAACCTGATTTTAAATTTGAGCGCACCTGTACAATTACCTAAGAACATTCACCAGACTATAATGTATTTCTTTAAAGATAGAAAAAAGTACAATGTGTAGTTGTTTTTTTGCTCATTTGTCTGGCACAAAAAAAAGCAATAAATTTTACTATTCTTTTGCTTGCTTTGTTCAATAACATAGGAGCTATAATGCTATGAGCAGAAGAGAACATGTTTTTAATAGTACAGGTCTATGAGTTCCATAGGCTGGTCACTTATTTCAGTTTCTGCAAACTGATATCAATCTAATAACATTTATCATGAAGTTACCCTTTTCCTTAACCTACAGACATCAATACAATTAATTGCTAAATTGGAGACTAGGTTATTCTTGGTCATAATATGATCATTCATCAACCCTCCCCTCCCCCTCAAGTTCAAGATGATGGTTGAAGTATGAACATATTCTAAAAATCACTTTACTTATAAATACTGAGCTGTACATGAACATCAAAAATCCTAGGCATAAAACTGATACAGAGTTTCTCATAATATCATATATTCACCCCCTTTACTTCACTGAGGAATACCAAAATCATGCATGAACATCAGTAATCTAAAACATATACAAACGATTCGCATTGAAAGTGTCCCTCTGCCATTCTAAAGGGAAAGCAAGACAGACTAAATACAGATCTATGGGTTAAAAAGAATTTATGTAACGCTCACCTGCTGCGGGACGGGAGTGAGAGACTTGCTCCTGTCTGTAAATCCCATACGAGAAGGATAGGTCAACTCTTGGATTTTCTTGGTAAGTTGTCCTACAGTCTGGAGAAAAAAAAAAAAGGAAAAAAAAAAAATATACAGATAGTCCCCTACTTACGAACATTCTACTTATGAACATTCCATGCATACAAACAAAACTTTTTAAGTACTAAAGTCCAACAAATTGTTTGAAAGATGCTAGCAAACTTCAAATTTCCCGGGTACGAATATAGTTCAAGAGTCTGGTACTGTATAAAATATGTCGTACTTATTGGGATTTATTTACAGGTATTCTTAATGTAAACAAAACTTTAAAACAATGGGAAAAAAGGTAATGGAGACCCGACTTTCGAAATACAAACAAATCAACTTACAAACAGCCTCTCGGTCCCCATTATGTTCTTAAGTTGGGGACTTACTGTATATACTAATAATCTACTGGAAAAACTTGTTACCTACTCATATGATAATACAATCACCATAAAATAGGAGATGTATTTAAATCCTAGTTTTGTGTCCAATACTCATTCACAATAGTTTCATTTGAATATATACTTCGTAATTTCACTAGAGTGACTAGACAAAGGAAGACACAGAAACTGAAAACTTTCCTGCATCCACTTTCATGCCATATCAGAAATTGTTTTTCAGGGGTAATATTTTTCTATTGTAGAAAGTATGACTGAAAATATATTTGAATGTTACTGAATACCATAATATTTCTTCACTAATCTTCATAGACTTTTAACAGCGATGCACAAAAGGAAGTATTTATTTCAAATGAAAATAATATAGCTATCTTAGGTGACATAACTAAGCAAGGACTGTTTCTAACATATAAATCCAGGCCCTAAACCAAGTATTTCTGATTTTTAATTTCTTAATGCTATCACTTACTTTTATCTATAAGTTCTAAGATAATATTAACTATCACAATGAATGTTAATCTTATCAAAGCCTTCCAAAATAGACTCTTCCTTATATATCTTAAAAATACTTTATCAATGACTCTTAACAGACCCCCATAAAATTTGCAGTGACCTTGTGGAGGTCTCTGGTCCATATCTCTCAAGGGAAAGGCTGAAATCTTCCTGGACCAATCACCCTGATAAGCTGTTAGTATACATCAGCTTATGGTGAAAGATTGCCCATTTCCAATCTGTCACATAATGAACTGACAGGATTGGGCAAAGGGAAACTCTGGCTTACTGAAATGAAACCAATATTAGCATCATTGGAGGCAAGGGGTTTACACAGTAAGAAATAATCAATGCTTTACTTACCTGATTCCTGAGGTGACCAGCCGTTCCTCCAAGGAAAGCCAGCCAAATAACAAGACAAGGGGGAGGTTTCGATGTTATGCGAACCACAAAGAAAGACATAGGTGGCTTCTCTCGATCATCGTCCCTGAAGAAAAAAAATATATATATAATAAATAAATAATAATAAATAAATAAATAAATAAATTTTTAAAAATAATAATAATAAATAAATAAATGTTGTCTGTGTTCAAAAAGTTTTTATCCCTAAAAGGACACAATTTAAAACTAAACTATATTAATTATCATATGGGATTCTAGAAAGCAATGAGTAGTCACATTCATCAGAATGTCTTTATTCATATAAAAAAAAACTATTCTATACATCTAATTAAAACTATAACCACTTCATCCTCAAGGTTTGCAAACTTTTAACATACAAGAATTTCTTACATACCACTATTATCAAAGTCCCGTCAACTAATTGTATTTAAAACTTTATCATATAATCTAACATACACTTACTTGTACAAGAATTTTATGTAGGAATGGTTCTCAATCAGTACAAAGTCACACCATTTGGCAAGGAGTGTAGTGAGAGCCAGCTCCCCTTGACGGCACTGTACCATCCCATATCTGAAATAATGGAATGCATCTTAAATTAAACAATTCAATTTAACCACAGAGTAAAGCAATTATCCTTATCTAACTTGTTTTACAGTACCAATAAAATATACCTGATACTTTCTGATGACATATCTACATACTACTAGTACCTAATATAAAGCAAACAATAAAGGAATAATTTAAACATACATCTACTTCCACACATGGTTACACAACAATGGTTTACGTAAGTATGTACTATACACACATTCATCCTGCATCCCATGGGAAGAGAGAATGTATGTTGGGGAGTGGAGGGAAACAGATATGAGAAGTTGAAGACCATGGAGTAGCCATGACAACAGTGTGATGTGACTGAGGTTTGTTAAATTGGGTGTCAGTCAGGAGCAATATCAATGTTGCCCATGTTTCTGTCACTGTTCAAACACCTTAAGAAATACAAAACCTAATAGTATTTAACCCACCCTCTCCTACACACACACACACACACACACACACACACACACACACACACACACACACACACAAACACACACACACACACTCACACACACACTCACACACACACTCACACACACACTCACACCTACACTCACACCTACACCTACACCTACACCCACACTCACACCTACACCCACACTCACACCTACACCTACACCCACACTCACACCTACACCTACACCCACACTCACACCTACACCTACACCCACACTCACACCTACACCTACACCCACACTCACACCCACACACACACAAAATAAAAGCATGTTAAAAAGTGAAATAAAACTGAATAGTACCCCATAAACTGACACACTGACCTCCCACTGGTGCTAGTGACATGGAGAACATGGAGGTTCTTGGGCAACGGATGGTCGTGCTCTACAATAACTCCTATGCGGTGAGTGTGCATCCACTTCTGCCAGATATTGATATCAAGCATACACACTGGCTTCCAGAAGTTTGTAAACTGGGGAAACTGGTCACTGTCAGAGACAAAAGAAAAGGGGGTAAGAAAATACATATAAATACATTCTTAATGATATAAAACCTACAATCTAAAATATACAAAATCAATCAATAAATAAATAAAAATTTTTACCAAACTATTCTCCTTCCATATCAAACACCCTTCCTTTGTAAAAGTCCTAATATACTCAGTTTCACAAGAAAATAAAAGTACTCCATGAATACCTAGCAGCAGCTGAGATGGGGTTGTTGTTACCGGGGTTCAGATCGAAGACTGGGTACCCATTTTTCACACAGTCAGGTATGGTGTAAAATGTAGGACTAGATGCAAAGGACTGGAGCCCCACCAACAGCATGTCAGTTTCTCGTAGGTGCTGTAGGGTAGTCCAATACTTGGCAACCATGCGCTGCCTGTACTTGGATCGAAACTGCCTGTTTATGTCGTTGGTTACATCATTCAAGAACTGGTATGTAGCTGCAAAGAGATTCATTCATTGGTTACATCACTCAGGATCTGATACAAACTTCCAAAAAGATTGTCCTAAACACAAAAATTTAGCTGGTAATAGTGCCACTGCAGTAAGGAGACTAGCAAAATAGGTATCCCATGTCCATGAAGCTTTTTGAACATAGAATCCTCCTGTTAATTGTATATGCTATCCTCCATGAATTACTTACCTTCAATCCATACTTCTGTATAGACAGTGGACTGGGTTGGTGGCCAGGCTGCTCTTATATGATATTCTATGAAAATTGAGTATTTCCAGGGCAGAACTAAGATTAGCTGGAAATAGACAAACATATTTATAATTATATAAAAAGAAGTGGGAGGAATTGAAAAACAGTTAATCACATAAAAACTGGTATGAGCAACTGAAGGTCATGTTTTTGGAACAATGATTAGGGTTTTGCCTTTTGTTGATACTGAGACTGAAATTGTAAACACACACACACACATATATGTGTGTGTGTGTGAGTGTGAGTGTGAGTGTGAGTGTGAGTGTGAGTGTGAGTGTGAGTGTGTGTGTGTGTGTGTGTGTGTGTGTGTGTGTGTGTGTGTGTGTGTGTGTGTGTGTGTGTGTGTGTGTGTGTGTGTGTGTGTGTGAGAGTGTGAGTGTGAGTGTGAGTGTGAGTGTGAGTGTGTGTGTGTGTTTTTCCATCTGATCTTTCTTTGACTTTGACTTTGACTACAGTATATACCTGGAGTGAAAAAAAACTACTCCCACCACAACTAGTATAATTTAGTTTCCCAAAGCAATGGTTCTCTCCCAACACTTTTAATGCTGTAATACCTGTATTTGATCATCAGCTATGTTCACTTGCTTGATTGCATAACCTTCCCTTAAACGACACGAGAGAACAGCATTGAGGGATGTGTTCAACTGTGTGTCTCTTTCTTTCTTCCTGATGAGTTCTGTTGCCTCCTGAGCTATTGGTTGCAAATTGAAAAACCTGCAATAACAATTACAATATTAAAGAAAAACTTGCATATAATATGAAGAAAATAATTAAGATTATATCTCAATAAAATGTAAATGTGTTTCTGTATATGAGAAGCATATAAAGCAAAATATTCCTATACAAAAAAATAAATAAATAAAAAATAAAAAATAATAAAAAATAAAAATTAATAAATAAATAAAAAATAAAAAATAATAAATAAATAAAAAATAATAAATAAATAAAAAATAAAAAATAATAAATAAATAAATCAACTTAATGCAAACGAGTGCCAGTAAAAATAAGCTCCTTCACTCATAATCCATATGCTAGTAATACTTTAACAAAAAATGTGACCACCTGGTATTAACATTACCTATTATTTCCATAATATCCATTATCAGGTGAAAGTCCATTCATGAACTTCTGGAAGCCCCATGATAATAACGCCTTGTGGTAGTCATTCATATGGTACACATAATCCTCTTCCTGAAATCATGCAATAACAAGATGACTAACATTAAGAGTATTCATTACAAGTTATTCAATAACAGCTAGGTCATTACAAGCATTACATTAATTATATTACTGTTCTTTTCATAATACCATATGTCATAACTCAAACAAATTAGAACAGGAACAAATTTTGCTATTTTTACCAAACTAGCCAACAGAAATAAAAGTGCCTGTGCAAGTCTCACTTTGACTAAATCCCAAGAAAAAAGCTCTGAACAAACCACTCACAATTGGAGGCAGGGTATCCAAGTAAGCACCACAAGTCGCCGTTGCCAGGAAGTGCATAAGGTCGGAGAAAGGCACATATCCCAGGGATGCCTGAGGATGGTAGACGGAACCAAGCTGGAGAAAACTGCATGCAATCGTCTGGTTTCTCAACTGGACTAGTAGGATGTCGAACATGGTTGCATCTGGCAGGCTAATCACCCCGTCAGTGATCACAACAATACCTGGGACCGAGAATTATTATTCGTTTAACTGTTAGATGGCTAATCCCAAGTATTAAAAATTTCTTATAGATATATGTCAAAACAGTACATAGGAACGTTCCACTTTGATAAAAAAAAATAAATAAATAAATAAAATAAAATAAATAATTAAATAAATAAAATAAATAATTTTTTCACTAAATGCTTCATAAAAGTATTGCCTTAGTGAAAAGTAAATAAAGTTTTCATGGGACACTTTGACAAAAATACCCTTTTTAAAGATCTAAAATGAAGATAATCATGACAACAGCATATCAAAAGGCACAAAAGCAGGATTCCATTAAAAAATTATCTACATGTTTTACATTACAGTTGCTGTTCATTTCTAATAAATGGTGTATTTGTATTGTGCAAGTACTGACCTGCACTACTGTTCTCTGGTAGCAATTGGAGAGCAACAATACCATATCGCAGCATGTTGACGAAACCAATGTCAGGCGATACCATGGGGTTGGTGACTGTTGTGGGGCCCAAGTCAACAGTCTCATCAAAAAGCATCCCTGTGACCTTTTCTCTCGCCAGTTGGGACCTATCCCGTGCAATATCCATTTGGTCATATGTCTGTGCAGTGGCCTGTTGTAAAGAAGCAAGGTTTTTAAATCATAAGATTAGAATGCAGATACAGTAACATGCTTTTGACAGCACTCACATTTTGTTCTGTTGTATAGCTTTTACTCTGGGTCTTGTACAAAACTTTTATAATTATTTTCTGTCATCTTTTATAGGCCATCTTTTAAATTTCTAATAATTTAAATCAAATTCTTCACTAATCTAAAACCATGGTTACATAATTGCTTCCATAATCCTCTTTAAATACTATACTGATCACTCTCATAACTATGCTTAACATCATTTTTATATCTATTTCAGTTCTACACTAGTAACAGCGATACAATCACAAAATTCAATATCATGCCATTATTCTCACCTCAGCCAGCTGCGATTCCAGCATCGTGAGTTTTGCATGTATGCTGTCAAGGAAGGCATCTAGGTTGTGTAGCATCAGAAGCCAACCCTGCACCAGAACCTGCTGCGACTGGGACTTGAAAAAAGGAGTGTGTGCGATGATGGTCAAGTAAACCTTCGGCTGGAACAGTAACTGACTTCCTGTTGATAAGAAGAAGAGGATGAGTATATAAGCTCAAGGAAAGTATCATCATTCCAGTTTTTCACTTCCAGTTCCTGATAATGCTGTTCATCTTCTTTCACCAAATCTACGTAATCTAAAGACATTTCACATCACCCAAAATTGAAAAATTCAGATTAAACAAACCTGGCACATAAAACGGTCGCACAATGCCCTTCAGACATTGCTTCAGGGTGGAAAACACCTCATCCAGAACAACGCTGCCCTTCGTCACATCCACAATTGAGGTGGATGGAGAGAGATCCAGGCAGAACACAAGCCTGTATTTTCTTGAGAGGAAGTGCAGGGTAGTTCGTTGAGTGATGCGGTACTTGTACAAATGTGATGTGTCGTAGTCCCATTCTCGGGGCACATCCAAAGGAATCACGGATACAACTTCAAGTTCCTCCTCACAGTCACTCTGTGTTACCATACATGGAGTTTTACTTAAGTGTTTTTCTTAAAACTCATAAATGATATTTTAGAAAATATTTGGCAATTCTTTAGATTGCACTTTCTTTAATCATAAAAAAAATATGTGTATAAATATGTACACACATACACATGCACACACACAGACACATGGATACACACACACATACATACATATATGCATCACACACACACACACACACACACACACACACACACACACACACACACACACACACACACACACACACACACACACACACACACACACACACATATATATACATACAGTATATACCAGCACAAGCCAAAATATTTATAAAATCAAATAAAAACTCACTAATTTCTCCCTTCTTGGCACTGTTATCACAGAATTTATTCGCTGCAAATACCACTCGGCACGAACATTTCGGGATATCCGATACTCTTTTTTCATTAAGATGTAGACATGTTCAGCTTCGAGGGCCTCCACCCCCTGAAAATAGAAAAAGAGTGAAATATATGTAATACATGCAGTAAAAACTCAATATATAAAATAATCACTAAAAAGAATCAGCAGACCCTGTTACTGGATATCTGGAGGAAATGCCTTAAAACTGGACCTAAAATATTTTGATGTCAACATAATCAATGTGAAGCATCAGGCAACTCTGAACCAATTTAACATAGAAACGTTCACATAAAAGAGACTGCATGTTCTTCTCTCAGCCTTAGCCTCTTTAACAGCTAAGCAACAGCATTAGCTATTTCACTTCAAACTGGCTGCTAGAAATTAATGGTCCTAAAATGTCTGTTTTATGCCTTTAATATCTCTGAAAAAGGTTCTAGAGTACATGTGCTGCATTCTGTTTTGACTGTCAGGGTTGCTTCAGGCATTCCAAAGGTTAGCATACCCAGAAAACAATAATATATTTTCAAGTCTAAGCTTTTTTCTCCTAGTCTATATATATTCTTTAAATAAACTATCTGTCAGGTCACACCTCATTGCTTCTTGACATCTTTGTCATATGGCCTGATCACCCTGAAGCATTAAAATTCAAACGGCAGTAAAATCATTGGTTATCAAAGTTTTTCTTTTTAGAGGCAATCAGCTGATCTGGTTTTTACGTCATTCCACCCAAGTTCATATGTTATTCCCAGGATACTGACCCGAGAGTAGTCTCCCAGCAAAAGCATGACTAACCTTCACCTGAACATCAAACTACTAAAAATCACGCATATTTCCGTCCATTCCCAAGAATTAGAAGTAAAACCAACGACTGTCATAAACATTAATCTGATAACAAGAGACAAGAAAAGGTGCTCGACCTCCGTTTATAAACAAAGCACATATCTCGACTACCCAACAAGAAAATACCAAAAAACCACACAGCAAGTGATAAATCAAAAGCTCACTTCCTCATCCGAAGGCACTGTGTCATCTGTAGTTGTCATCTCGCGACTTGGGACATGAAATAGAGGGTTTGTTTACATCGAGAGTGACTGTGTGCGCGACAGGACCTCCCACCTCCCGCTGGCTCCTCGAGGGGTGGCGGGGTTAAAGAATTTTCGGACTATTTTATCATATTTATTACTATTATTGGTATCTATTGTTTATGATTTATTGGTATCTATTATTTATGATTTATTGGTATATGTTATTTATGGGTTATTGGTATATATTACTTATGGCATACATTATTATTATTATTATTTTTGTAATCATTATAGGTAATATAATTATCATCTGTAGTATAATCAGTGTTCGTTTTTCGTATAGTGCATCTTTTTCTCCTCTTTAATTTTTATTATATAGATTTATATTTATTTATGTTGTTCTTGATCATTGTCACTTGTTGCTACTGTTATTTTCAGTGCTGCTGTTGCTATAATAATAATGATGATGATAATGATGATGACGATGATGATGATGATTACTGTTATTATTATCATTATTATCATCATTATTATTATTGCTTTATTATCATTATTATTATTATTGTTACTATTATTATTATTATATATATATATATATACATATATATATATATATATATATATATATATATATATATATATATATATATATATATATATATATATGTATATATATATATATATATATATTTTTTTTTTTTTTTTTTTTTTTTTTTTTTTTTTTTATTCACTGTGAATGCGGGCACCAACCAGCTGCCAAAGAACTCACAGGTAAATGTCTGGCTGTTCCTATTGTCGAGTTCTATGCTGGTAGGCGGGCCAAAGCAAATGACCAAGGGCTACCAGCATTGTATCTAAGTAAGACAGATCCAACATTTGCAAATCCGTGCGCGTGCACTTGTGCATTCACACACACACATGCACACACCGTACGTGTTTGCATGTGCTTGTTAGCATGAATGCACAAGTGCACGCGCACGGATTTGCAAATGTTGGATTATTATTATTATTATTATTATTATTATTATTATTATTATTATTATTATCATTATTATCATTATTATCATCATTATCATTATTATCATTATTATCATTATTATCATTATTATCATTATTATCATTATTATCATTATTATTATTATTATTATTATTATTATTACTGTTGTTATTATTATCATTATCATTATTATTATTATAATTATTATTATTATTATTATTATTATTATTATTATTATTATTACTGTTATTATTATCATTATCATTATTATCATTATTATTATTATTATTATTATTATTATTATTATTATTAATATTATTATTATTATTATTATTACTATCATAATCATCATCATCATCATTATTTTTAAAATCATTATCATTATAACATTATCATCATCATCATAATTATTATTTTTATTTTTATTATTGTTATTATTATCATTATCATTATTATTATCATCATTATTACATTACTATTATTATCATCACCATCATTATCATCATTTTTATTATTAGCATCATTATTATTGCTATTGTTATCATCATCATCACTACTATTACTGTTATCATTATCATTATAATAGTAATAAAAATAATAACAATGATAATAATGATAATAATGATAGTAATGATAATAATAATAATAATGATTATAATAATAACAATAATAATAATAATAATCATCATCATGATCATGATCATCATCATTATCATTATCATCATCATTATTACCATTACTATACATTATTATAGCTATTATTATTGTTATCCTCATTATTATCATTTCCATCATTATTATTTCTGCATAGTTACTGGGATCCCCGAACACTCCTATTGGTTAAGCTGGTTTTAAGTTGAACTCTGTAACCCCGGATCTTTGTCTTGGTCCAGGATCTCTAAAGCCTCTCCGGTATAATAAGGATAGTAACTTTATTAGCAGTCAAGAGCACTGGCTTTACTATAACCCAGTTTTCCCTTGCATTAAGTCTACCAAGTAACCAGCCATTGTAAGTAGGATGAAGTATATTTACGAAAACCCTTCCTTACTTCATCCCTGAATTCGCAGGCGAGAAAAACACTTTACAACACTTTAATTGCTCATTCTGTTAATTACAGCGATCAGATTACGCTCAGCAAAGTGCAGACCAGTAAACTGTAACAATAACCGTAAAATATGGCCACCCTGGAATGACTTTGTCAGGACGCCCGCGATGGCGACTGCATTGATGGTTTGTACTCCATGCCCCTTCCTTGTATATACCCAGAGGCGGGAGAAATGAAGTTGCACGTACTCAGAGCTACTTATTAGTTGAGAAGACTAATAGACTCACAAATTAGAACCCTGCTGAATTATTTGTAATACCCCCCCTCCCACCAGAAAGATAGTTTAGTATACTTTTGAATATTAAATAACAACAAGACGAGATGTTCTCATAAGGGATCCTCCAAAGCTTTATGTTCAAGCCTCGCCAAAATCTCTCTCAATATCGCAAAGGAACCAAATGGCTAGTCCTATTGATCGTGAAAAAAGGATGTGACTATGCTTACAACCTACAGTTATTTGAATATAATATTTTTTGCATATTTATACAAAATAATTCTTTATGTCAAAGGATAGAATAATTGGGTGTTATTCAATTTGTTGGAAGGATTAACACCCAACAGTCTAAATCGGATCTCTGTCTGTCTGTCTGTCTCTCTCTCTCTCTCTCTCACACACACACACACACACACACATGCAGAGAGACTTTAAGGTGGCGAACTGTGAGAGTGAGGTGTTTTTTTTCTTCTTCATGAATGGTTTAGAATGTAGAGATAACCATAGTCTTGGTTTTCGTTTCACTTACCTAGTGCTTTGTTTTCTGTCTTGGCAGCAGGGGTCATGAACTCTCTCGAGATGCCGGTACCTATGCAGAAGGACCAAGTTACGCGTCTTCAAGACTCTGATACTGCCAGTTTTACTCTATTGGAGTCTCGCTTTGATGTCTTTTGTAACAGGTCCATGATCAACAGTTGGCAGGCCCATGCATTTACCCAAAGGTTACACCATGGGAGACTGGGATGGGATCTGTTACTCGCCAACTCAGGCTGTGCGG